AATAATAGAGATCTCTATTGTTTCTATCAGGAGTTAGTGTAAGTTACATCACTTAAAATAATACAGACATCTCTATATTTCAGATAATAATATAAGAGATATCTCATAAAAATACAGATATCATTATAAATTCAGGAGACAGAGTAAGAGATATCTTATACAAATACAGATATTTCTATCGTGCCGGCAACAGTGTAAAGGATATGAAATAAAATAATAGAGATATCGTTATTAATCAGAAGACAGTGTTAGTGATATCTCATAAAATAATAGAGACATCGCTATTAATCAGAAGACAGTGTTAGTGATATCTCATTAAATAATAGAGATATCGCTATTAATCAGAAGACAGTGTTAGAGATATCTCATAAAATAATAGAGACATCGCTATTAATCAGAAGACAGTGGTAGTGATATCTCATAAAATAATAGAGACATCGCTATTAATCAGAAGACAGTGTTAGTGATATCTCATAAAATAATAGAAATGTCTCTATAATTATAGACAGTGTTAGTAATATCTCATAAAATAAAATAAAAATATCTTTATAAGAGGAGACGATTATTTCGATTAAATTGTTGCGACATACATGTACGTAATAAGAAATCTACGATTTTAATGGGCCCTACCCGTCACATTGGCGTGAAAATCACATTTCATTCCAATGACAACTAACGATATTTCAATGTATGTTGAATTTATAAAATTGTGTCCACATTAACATGACAATGTACAAGACACCGCGATAATATATACACGAAGCTCACAGCCCTAATAAATATCTACACAGTACATCAATTTCATAATCATCACAATTTAAGACGGCATCACTAATAAACTGCTGACAGATGACTCAATGAACATTTACCTGGCGATAAATCATTGTTAACAGACCTAGTTAGCAACATGGTTGGCGGACCAAAACATCCTACTTTTGATAGATTGGCGAAAAAACCTCAAACAAACAAAAAACGGTAATAGGTTTTATTTACACGGCTGTATTGACTTCTGGTATGTCACGTGCACAGGAATCACTACGACATGTAAGAAGGATATGTGATGGTTCACGATAATAACAGATGAAAATAGTAATGCTTGAAAATATGCGTACATCTGTGACAAATTTTAAAAACTGTGTGACTTGTTTTCAATACCGGTGTTCCTTAGCGACGTTTAAAATTACGATAAATTACAGGGGCGGATCTGGGATGTCAAGTAGGTCGTACAACCAAAAATAATTACTTATAAACGAAGGCTTTCGACTGAAACGAGGTGATGGATTATAAATTAAGATTAAAAGAAGAAAAATTGCAAAAGTACTCCACGAATTATAAAAGTACTTTGGGTAAAGGTATGTGAATGTAGCCTGATCCTTGCCTGCCCTGTAGTATAAATGGGCAACAGGGCGCTCATGCCCCTAAAGTAAGATTAACACCCGAGTAGGTTACACCAGACAAGTAAGTTTGTTTCTCACTGTTTAAATGTCTCTGCTAGAGACCACTTCTATACAAGGAAACCATGATAACTCGATGTTTCAAATTAATTACCAAAATACTGAGGATTAATTACTATACTCAGATTTCCAAAGAAAAATATGATCAAGTCCCTGAAAGACTAGCATGATTTATTCGAAGAATTAAAGTGCAGAAGGAATATGATGAAAAATAGCGAATATATTTGAAATAAATTAGAAAAGAGAGAAACCAGAAACAGACACGCACGTGTAAACAGGAAATACAGGAGGATTAAACTGTCATATCCTTTTTAAGTTTTATGTAATTCATCAAAATCTCTGATAACGAAAACAAACATACGATGGAATGTAATCCATCTTTATTACTACGCCAACCATATCTGTATTCTACGTCCGTGTGGGTGCGGCTTGTTTGTGGTTTATTTCAGATTTCTTAAGATTTATATTTCAAACTGTTAAATGTCACAAGGGGGGACAACTCCTGCAAAAAATAACTGTTTTTTTCAGCCCATTTGGATCATCGCAAGCCAAGTGTTCGCTTCGTGTAGGTGGAGTGTATACGAAGCGAACACTTGGTTAGCGAATGGTAGCAGAAATTAAATATAATTTCTACAAACAAAAATAGTGACAGTAATTAGATGTTTCACGACCAGCATGACAGGGGAAGATTTGGAGTGGCTTTAAGATCGCCAATAATTAGCATAGCCAATAATTTACATCACAATAATAGTCAATAGTTGTCTCCCCTACACCAACCCATTACTTATCTACAGAGATATCCGAGGTTATATAAGGCTATATATAGTGACGTAATCGGTACAGTCCGTCGGATGGGACTATAAATGGTGGCCCGTGTGAGAACTGTCCAATTTCGCACGGAAAAAAACCCTCTGGGTTTTTCGAAAAAGAGCAGGCGCGTACACGCCGACTCAGAGGATAGGAAAAATTTATTCAAAATTTTAAAGGTAGGGTCTCTTTATTAAGATATTTAGAAGGACTTCCAAATTTTATACATAAACCAAATTCTCAAACCTAGGCGGGGCTGATGGGGCTGACGGCGGCACAGTACCTCACTTCCGGTCCAGAATTGGTGATGCTTCACAATGAGTGTTAGGTTAAGGCATTATTAGGCATAAGAGTCGTCTCACAAAAACTAGACAGTTAATATATATAGGATAGACGGCTCTTTATCTAATCTATCCCCCTCTTCTACTCTTTACTCCACACTTTATCCCTTCTACTCTTTTTCCTTTCTGTTCTTCGTCTGCTGGATAACCGATACATCCGGTAGTGAAGCGGACGTAAAACCTATCAATCAATCAATCAATCAAGCCGTAATCGGTAGATAATTTATACTGGACATGTAATAAAAAACCAGCACTGCTGTAACTATGGAAACATAATATACGCTCTGAGCTTGTTCCTCAATCCAACCGAAATTACATGTATATCATAACATTGCCTGATTATTGAATAAAGTAATATTTAAGATAACTATAGAAAGAATACTTTAAATATGAAATATGGTGATACACTTCTCCGTAGTCAACGACCATCAGCTTGTCTCCCTGGGACAAATTAACATGTACAATTATAATATATAAAGAGAGGTATGTACACAGAAAATTGTGTATTTATGTATATAACGAGTGTTTTTGAATTCTATATATAACTACAGATCGTGTGACCAAGCCTTACTGTTATATTTTAACTACGGCTGATTCAATATTTACACTATTACTAACCGACTAAGTGGACAGCCGCTGACCACCACAGTGTTAATACGAAATGTTAACGCGGGCCCTGGTATATAAAGAAGCAATAATGGGTTTTCATTTGAGATTAAGCAATGAGGAGATGTTTCGTCACCTACCGAAACCATTTCAATAAAAAATAAGCTGTTTTGGCTTAATGAAACGATGTTTAATATATGTACAAGTAAAATAATACGTCGGTCAGGAATGTCGAAGACGCCAGTCATTAATTTGTTACAAAGGACATGAACGAATTCGGGGACTCAGAATTAGTTGTTATATTCAAAATTTAGAATAAATGAAGAACGCAAATATGAGATTTCAAACTAATTCAACAACTGGTGTAGAAAATATCTTAATATGGCATTACATAGAGAGACATAAACCCGCATTTTCATAATAAAAATTAACTTAACTCTCTTCAATTTTTGAAAGCCTCCACATGCACCAAATAAATGAATAAACATTTTCATACCAGTGTTCATTTGTAAAAAGAAAATTGTTTGGCACATGCAAAGATTTTCATTTCTACAAAAAAACAAATCTTGGCTATTTATGCATAGCAACGAAATTGTATTGCTATGTTAGGGCATCTACGCATGCGCATTGGGGAAAAAATCTGCACCATGATAGAAAACCTCAATTAGCCAATATGATGCTTATAACAGAAATAGGTAAATAAATTAAAGTCGATTATTTTAGTTTTTCATACCCATAATGCCCCAGGTCCTTCACACATAGACATCAAGGAATGTGAAAAGCCAACTAAATGTACTGTATGAGATATCTTACGAAATATCTAAACTATAAATATATTTTATATGTTTTTTTCTATAAGAAGATTTATTGTAAAACATACAAGATACCATATATCTGGTATATAGAAGAATAAGATATCTTAAGAACGTGCGTCAATATCTTATAAAGGACGAGATCTATGTATCATATATCTTACATATACATAGGATCTTACATGAGTTTCCATTTCATAAGAGTCTAAGAATTTTTCTATTTAACGAGCATCTGGCGAGCTAAAATGAAACATTCCTGACGAGTTTCATAATCAATATTTGTGGCATTTATTCGTGTAAGACGACAATTTTCCTGCAACCTTGAAATGTAAAAAGCCGCCATTTTGACTTCAGTGCGTTAGTCTGTGACGTCAGGTACTTGTCCTAGGTGTAACGTCACAAATGAAATTTACAACCAATCACAGAGAAGATAGGTCATATTACATGGGTTAATATTCATTGGATAACACACACATTATGTGATAAAAGCTTATAAGATACAGGATTGCGTAGCTCTTTGAATAAATGTTAAGTTGGCGTGTAATAATAGAATTTTACAATACTGTAGATTGGACATTTACTGTGAAATCTAAACCAGAACAGTATTCGGACTTTATGGTACAGTTTCTGAATGTATCACGACGTCATAACCGTAAACTATGTCCAACAAATCATAGCGAACAACACGTCAGTTCTCACTTCAATGTTGATAGACGTATTCCATTCAAAGTTGTATCGCGTGGTCAGTCTGATATAGTTTATGAACCGCTGGTCATAGTGATCGGAAACCTCCTTGGTTGAGTTCAAGTGTCCTCGGACAGCTTGTGACGTCTATTGTGATGGGCGTTAATAAGACACGCTTTTATTTACCTGTGTATAGGACAACCGTTAAAGACTGTTGACTCGGACATTACCGTGACGGACCCACTGTGTGTCACAGTGTGGGAGGTGTATCGTACGGGTGGGGTTGACAGTTGGAGTACCGGTAATCCGAAGAGGCCGAGTTCCAGACGATAGTATACTCAGTGTATAGGGACCACATCTTGATTCCCTAAACAAAACATGTTATGGGGGTTTCTTTGAAACAAAGTCGTTTTTGAAGAAGTTTAAATTCGGGGTTAAGTGAACGTTTGGAAATCACATACGTGCAACACAAGGATAAGTGCCGAGGAAGTGATAACTGTCACTAAAGTTCTGGTCAGTAGTATTGGAGATGATTAACTAACAGCTAGGTAAGTAACACCTTATATATTGATGTATAATTTATAATCAACATTTTATAAGATAAATCGCACGAGGAGCGTATCACCACTTTATCTTATGTGGTTCAATGGAATGATATCTTAGTGAAGACAGTCCGCGCGAGTTTGTAAGAGTCACGTGCCTTTGGAGGATATGTATCTGATAGAGATCTTGGGAGTCTGGGTGGGACTACAATTCACAATTTTAGATCTATATCTATTTCACTTTTAGGAGCTGAGTTTGTACAAGATGCCGCCTAATAGAGTGCTGCCCAAACCTCCTCCGACACGTGACCCTAACGGACTTAACAGTCACTTGACCGTAAGTACACTGCACGAGAAATGAGTGAATATATATATAGTTTCAATTAGGATTCAACCAATATTCTGTTTATAAGTACACGTGAGTTGTAAAAAGGATGATTTTCTTCACATTTTACACAGTTAACATCATAAAGCACATGCTAGAGTCGACAATGGATAACTTTAACATTCTGATCACTTGTTTTCAAAAAGATATTTTTTAAAGTCGACGGGGAATATTCTTCAATTTCCAAAATAAATTCGATGTGCTCTGGGCAGAGTCAACAACCCCCACTGATTTACAAAGCATGATATCACGATTAAATCTACGTACGAAACATGTAAATCATCTGGTATTTGAGTGACAGACGTCGTTAGTTACCTTTGGTCAGTACCCACCAGGTAGGCTATTATAGTAATACTGTCACGTACACAGTAGTAAGATGGACAGGTAATTGTGTTATTCTGAACTGGTTCAAAAGAATCGGCATGCACCCCATACTCCAGACTTGTTTTATATGACACCATTGACGGACATTGACAAACTATGTCAACAACACGGAGAATTAAGAGAATTTTAATACTTTTAAATGGAAATTTAAGTAAAAAGGAGTCAATTTTGAAAAATAAATGAAAGCCACAATTTTTTGCAAAATAATGTCAATAAAAATGATACTGCCATATATTAGTATTGCATTAATGTATATCAACTTAATAAATGCTGAAATTGTGAAAAATAAATTATCTATAAACGTTTGAAAATTGACATTTTATAATAAAACCATATAGTAATTGCATGCAAGAGTTATCATTCTTAAAAAACTTCACAGTAGAGAAATAGGTAGCCGGTTTCCTGAAGTACAGAAAAATGGACACATGTATGTGACTCATTAATAAAAAAAAAAGCAACTGAATTAATGATTGGATTGCTTAGAAATACTTTAATATTGAGAGAACACAATGTTCTGTCAATAATAAACATATAATATTTGTATAACTGTAGCATGACTTGGCCAGGGTTCTACCACTGACCAGCTGGGAGAGCGACTTTATAAAGACTAGGTGTCAAAGGATCAAATCCTGATCTGGCCTCATTGTAGTTTTAACTCAGAACAATGTTGTTAATTCTTCTGTTGTTTATTTCGCATTTTTTTTAATTTATTTTTTCATAATAAAAGTTCCGCAAAATATGTAATTTTGGCTCTGAAATGAAGTCATGCCTAAACACATTCCATTGCATAGTGATAGTGTTTGACAGTTGATCCTTTCTGTTATAAACCAGTTGCAGAAAAAACTATCACACGGAAATGTTTTCCAGCCGTAACTGATTAAGTCTTTCCGTACCATTGTAGAGTAATCGAAAGCCAATCTTATCGTGACGTCAAACTTAAATTACGACGGAAATTCACGATTGTTTCCGATGTTATACGTTCGAAGGAAACTGTGATGCGAACATTAAAACTGTTTATAAGATACATCAAATCCTTAAATATTTACAATTTATACACGTTTTCTGTAACTTTGTATTTGTATCTATTCAGATACAGTTCCCAGACGTCCTTGCCGAACAGAACTCACCAAAGAGCCTCGATATCATTTGGGACTGCTCTGAAATATGGTACTCCTGTTGGTCAGCGTGTTGTTACGGACTTCTTACCCTGTTCACCGGCCCTTGTATCGCAAGCGTCTGGGCCTGTCAGTTCGCCTATGTGGCCTTTGCGCATGTCTGGTGCTTAAGTCCGATTCTCATTAACGTGCGCCTGTGTATGTTTGACTGTCTTCAGAGAGGCGTACGGAGTGTCATTAACTGCTGCATTGTACCCTGGACGACCGCATGCGGAAGCTTTTTCCATTTGTGTCCGGTTAAACGGAAGCCTCTCATACCAGCACCGGAAGTTAAGAAACCTCCTTCACCGGAAATTATGATCGTCATACCCAAAGGAAAGGATGTTTCAAAGTCCATCAAGAGACAACTAGGATTGTTTATGAGGTAGAGAGAGTATTTCAATACAAAAATCAGTTTGAACTTTTTCGATCATTTCACCTTGATGGTAGTCTCGTTCAACCAGACGCTTCATCACTTGTAATTCAAGAGTCTGGTTGAACGAGACTACCTTGATGGTGGCCCCATACGTCGCAACCATAAGATAAGATAAGATAAGATAAATTTTATTTAGAGTCGGTGGGTATATAACAAAATAACATAAGCTCTTTAGAGCTTTTGACCGACATAACCATAGTAAGTGTAACTTGTACACGATGCTTGAAAGATCTTCAAGACTCTTGATGATCACCAATTATGCCGGGGGGGGGGGGGGGGGGGGAGGGTTCGTCAAAATTCAATCACGAAAGATTGCGATGACAAGGGTCCATCGCGTTCTCCCGCGATCGGTACACGAAGCGTCTGCAAAACCCACGGTGGGTCTTGATGAAGCTTCGTGATCTCTTTCTCTCACTGAGGCGTGAGACGTCGACTCCATATTTACCTGTAAATTGGAGATGCTAGGTCACGAAAGCATACTATCGTCTAAAAACACATCATAAAATCAGAAGTCAGAGATATGACTTTGACTTATCTTACAGTAAATTGTTATTTATTAATGTAACTGAAATGCCCCCCTCTTCTCTTTTTCTATAAGAGTGTCATAAAATACAGCAACTTGCCGGACGTATCGCATACATAATCAAAAACAACGATGTATCTCCTAAGTTCACACATTCAGTGGTTCATTGGGTGTGTTCTCCTTTCTCCCACTTTTTTAAAAAAAACCATAGAGGCAGTAATGTTGTGATAGCAGTTATAGTCTGTTTCATATTTTCATTATTTTTAGACATTTTTGTCATATCATATACCATTTAATTTTCATCTATACAAAAGAGTAACGTGAAATCCATCAACTGACCACTTTACTGGTGAGTATGTACCATCCCCAACTGTCCAGCTACCCTTAGTACCCTAAACAACATCCGTACTGGAAACGGCCGCCATCCCCAAAACCACCCACAGGAGATAATGGAGACCATTCGTACAAGCTGCGTGAAGGAAGTGAAAGAAATTCCCAGAAAATACGACGAGGAGGTAACCAAGCTTCGATCCGATGATGGTACAAAAGATGTAATCCAGTACGCCGACACAGCATCCCATCTTTTGCATTTAGAGTGACATTGTGATAAATGTGCTTGTTATAGAATTTTTATTTGGTGATTTCTTAGGATTTCTTCAAATTATGGACTTTTCTTTATCTGTGCTTTTTATGGACTTCCCAATACATTGTATTTCACCTTTATTAAGTTAGTGCTATTATATTAGTTTTATATAATGTATATTTGTGCATTTTATGAATAAGGTTGTTTTGATCAACTACGTGTAGTGCTAAGTATTCCAAGTGTAGATGTAATTATTTATTTTTTTATTTATTTTCATTCCCAGCTTTGCATCTGTTTTTGCTTATACATGATCACTGTCTTTACTGATTATATTTTTGATGCATTGCTTGCTAAATTGAGTTCTATTTTATGAAATATATATATAACATACATGTAAATGTATAGTAAAAATGTATAAAATTGATTTAATATGAAATTATTAAAAGCAGGTTTTCAGTTAATGTATTTTGATGTGTTTTTATTAAGTAATAACTGGAATACTGTATCTATTTATTTATAATTCCAGTAAATATTACGAAAATCAGGAAATATATTTGTTAAATATTCCTATAACTAACACAGTATTTCCTATTGGCGAACAGGGAAATGATCTACCTGTACTATACCAGAATAGACTATAATGACACCTCTATTATTTTCCAGTGTTTCTATTATTTTCCAGTGTTTATATAATTCCTTTGATCAGAAAAAAGGGGGAGAAAGGAGAACAAACCGGTTCATTGATATAAAGAGAAAAAGAGAAAGGGAGATGACCCTTCCCTTGCATAAGCCCGTTTGGGACATTGAAAAAGGTAGATAACTCCGACTCATATTTTACACAAGATCTAAATGACCATATTCCTTGCTGACTTATAAAACAATTTCTTACGATTAATAGTGTCAAACGCTTTTTCATAGTCTATGAAAAACAATTGAGTTTTTTCTTTTGTAATAAAAATCTATTAATTACGCCATGAAGTGTAAAAAGAGAGTCAGTTTTCCCAGAATTAGGGCGAAAACCAAACTGAGCGTCTGATATAATATTATTACCATCTGACCACTTTAACAATCTGTGATTAAGAATAGAAGTAAACAGTTTCGACAGACAACTTACTAAAGTTATGCCTCCATAGGTGTTGGTATCACTGACATTACCTTTTTATGCAGTGGAATGATAACAACACGTGACCAACACTCTGGAAATATACCTCCAGTGAAAATCAAATTAAATAACCGTTTTAATAATGGCACAAAAATATCTTTTAAATTCACAAAATATTCATTCAGTAGGTTGTCTAAGCCTGGCGACTTATTCGGCTTGGATTTTTTTTGACATTTAAAATTTCCATCTCTGTGATTTCATTGTCTAATTCGTAAAATATACATTCATCAGAATTGTATTTCCATATCATCAGAATTATTCTCATCAGCATCAAAAATCTTTTTGAATTGATCATAAAAATATTTTATAGACAAATTTGTAACAGCATTTGCATTGCGATATTTGAATAAATGATACAATTGTTTCGGGTTTGCTCTACGCAAGTAATTCATTCTATTACCTTCATGCGTCTTAAATTTTCTTCAGCTTGCGCGCGTACATTTTAAACATGCGTTTATTGTTCACCAAAACACTTTTTTTTCAGGAATACGCGCAAAATTAAAGTCAGCAAGCTCTGTCATATATCTTTTGTATAAAAACTTACAAGGATCGTCAAACCAAGGTTTGTCATTAGAGACACATCTACCAGTTCTGTTGGTGCTGGATTTGTACGAAAAAGTCTTGCCACAAAATGGCGTGAATACATCACACAACAAGGAAGACAAGTTTCCTACACACTGGTTTACATGTACAGATTTGTTCTCCAGTGACGTAACCATTTCATTTAACTCATTTTGTTTGGTAACTAATACTTCACGCATTTTTTCTATATCAGCGTCGTTCCATCTATACACAGTATGCGTTTCGTTTTTAAAAGCAAAATCGCTATCAATTACATTCAAGTTATTACATTGGACAACAAATTCAACTGGTGCATGATCAGACCATAAATTAATATCACAAACTTTCAACCTGTTCACAGTTTTAAAGCATGATTTGTCAAGAGTACATAATCAATGACACTTGAGCCTGAATAATTAAAAAATGTTAAACGACGAGATACATAATCAGGCTTTCTGCCATTACACACGAATTCTACTGGATTTACATAATTGGATAAGTCTTCGCCCAAAAGTGTTAACAACCGTATCCTCTGACCGTCGCGTAGGCATAATGACGTCAGCATCATACTCGAACAGGTCAGACAGTCGGTCAGCCAGCGAATCATGTATACCATCATGGGCAACAAAATCAGATCTGGTTCCTATACGACTGTTCAAGTCGCCGGTCACTATAACATTTCCTAAAGCAGAGTATTCAGCGATATCATTTTCAAGACATGTAAATAAATCGATGTCATACAAATTGTAATAAACATTATTTTCTGGGGGGATTATGACAAACATATATACAAATCTGACTGGGACAATCCAGACAGTCCAAACTAAAGGATCTCCAACACATTGGAGGAAAGTCAAAAACTGGGACACATCTTTCCGAAAAAGAACAACTAAACCACCACCAGAGCCGCTGGAGCGCGGGAAAGCTCTAACATCAAAGTCCAACAGCAGAGAGAGGTCAAGTTCCGTCTTAGCTTTATTCCAGCACTCGGACAGTAGTATCAAGTCATAACTGCTAATCTGCTCAACGAATTCACGATTACAATTTTTTTTATGCAAGTTCCTATTTACATTCCAACTGAGTACACGTGTAATGAACGTTCAGTCTCCGCGCGCTCCTAACGGGAACCATGTAGGGGCGGCCTGTAGAGGGTTCCGTCGACGTATAGCATGTCGTACGACAGCCTACACTGGCCTCCCTGGTTTCGCTTCTGCTTCATGACGCGTAGTAGTTCTTTACGTTTAGGGTAGATCTCGGGTGGAAACTGTGCATTAATAAAATGACCAGTGCCTTTCAGTTCTCTGGAACGCTTCCGTATATCCTGGCGTTGCTTGTAGTCGTGGAATCTGGCGATGATTGATCGAGGTGAACCTCTACCCGCGATGCGATGAACTCGCTCAAACTTGACGTTTCCTACATCGTCTGACGACATCTTCAGCTTGTATGTGTACACTAGAATTTTGTACTGCGACCTGAATCGTACAGGTAACCAGTGCAACGAATAAAGCACAACTTGATATAACTCTTTTTAATAAGATTAAAATTCAAAAACGATAATATTGAATTGTTGATAGAGTCAATGTTTTTCTGGTCAATTTGTGCCAGAATGCAGAGGTTTGCGTGTAACTTTTTTTTAAATAAGAATTACGGGCGGCGTCACACACACATGCATACTTTTAAAATTTTGATTTAAACCCCAAGTGCTAAGAATCCCGTATGAACTATTCCTTGGGGGTATTTGAGACTATGATATCAACACATGCGTTTAAATATTATTAAAACACTAATAACTACTACAGCTCATTATATTATATTATATTATATTATTATATTATATCATTATATTATATCATTATATTATATCATTATATTATATTATATTATATTATATTATATTATATTATGCAAATTTAGATGATCTTATATGAAATTTCCCATTGAAACGGGTAGGTAGCATAATATTCAAAAAACAAGACCGAACACTTATTCCATATAAAAATGGTCTAGGCGACGAATTTCATTATTTATTCAAATGCGAACATTTAACGAATAAGACAACTATTTATTCCAAATTACTACTATACTTACCCTAGCCTTATTAAAATGCGTGGACTATTTACTATATGCAATGTAAAAGTTTTATTAAATGTTAGCTGATTTCTAGAAAAACTTGAAAAGCCATTGAATGTATGTAATTAGTTTGTAGCCTTTTATGCCTTTGTTATCCGCCATGTATGAATATGATACATATTGACCTCTTGTTACATACTTTGTATGTCTGAGAGAAATAAAAAATCTGAAATCTGAAATCTGAAATCTGAAATCTGATATATCATATTCATATTTTTGAAAACTGATTCAATTTTATAAACAAAACAAAAATGTCTAAAAAAAATATGATGAATCCATGTTGAGAAGCCAGTTAAG